TTGCTGTCATCTCCAATCCCTATCTACTGGTTCCTTTGGTGCTGCTCATAAACCATTTCAAGTCTCACCCCACCCTCATCTCTTAAAAAACACTTTCTTCAGCTAAACTCCCCCCAAAAGTTGTCCACACTGGTTGCATCCACTTCCTCTCCTTTGCCTTCTCAACCTTTTATCATCTCTCTCTAAAGTGCCAAAGTATATCTTTTTTGTAAACATTCATTTCTTAAAAAATTTGAGTTTCAGATTCTCTCCCTTCCTCCCACCTATTGAGAAGGCAAGCAATACGATGTCAACAAAGTGTATCTTAATTGCTTAGTCTGATGGTTTTTTCTCCACCCTCATTCTCCTTGACCTCTCTGTTACATCAGACATCATCAGCCATGCTCTACTCTGGATGCTCTCCTGCTTCTCCTTCCTATCTGATGACTTGAGTCTCTTTTGTTGACTGCCATTCTCATCACATCTTCTTATTGTGTGTGTACTCCATGGTTGTGTCCTAGGCCTCTCCTCTCCATCTTCTTCTCTCTTAGTGACACAGGTTCTCATGGGTTTAACAATTCTCTCTATGTGAATGAGTCCAGTCCTCTTCAGTTTCAGACCCACATCTCCAGCTGCCTCACAGACATCTCAGACTCAGCCTGTGCAAAACAAGACTCTATTCCCCCCCCCCAAAAAAACCAAAAAACCAAAAACAAAACCCTTCTACCTTTCTCTATTTCTATCTAGGACACCATCATCTCTCTAGTCATCCAGGTGTATGAACTTGGTTATTCCCCTTGACCCTACACTTCACATACCTAGTCAATGACCAAATCTTGGTTCTACCTTGGCAACATCTCTTGAATCTGGCTTTTTCTGCCACTCACCTGACATCACCCCGGACATTCATCCCTCCCCAGGGACTGCTCCAACAGCTCCTGATGGGTTTCCCTGTCACAGTTTTCTCCACTCATCTACTCTCAGCACAGCTGCCTAAATGAGCTTCCTAATGTGCACATCTGGCATCACTCACCTAGTCACTGAACTCCAGTGGCTTCTTCAGTCTGGCACTGAAAGCCCTTCACAACCTATATTTCTTCTACCTACATTTCTAGCCTTGTGGTTCAGTTAAGCTGATCTCCTTTTTGTGTTTGATTTAATTCATTTAATGTTCTGGTCCCTCCTGCCTGGAATAGACTCCCTCACTTCTACTTTTCAGAATTCCTAGTTTCTTGAAAGGCTCTGCTTAAGTCTTACATGAATGACCAACCCCCCAAAACCACCTTGTGCCCATACATACATACATACATGTATGTATGTATGTATATGTGTGTGTGTGTGTGTGTGTGTGCATTATGTCTCCAGCTACACTGTAAGCTACTTAAGAGGGAAGGGAATAAGCATTTATTAAGTGCCTACCATGTGCCAGGCAGTGTGCTAAGTGCTATATAAATATCTCATTTGATCTTCATGAACCTGGGGAGGTAGATGTTATTATTATCTCCCTTTTGGAGACAGGGAGATAGAGGCAGACAGAGTTAAATGACTAGCCCAGGGTCACATAGCTATTAAGCGTTTGAGGTCAAATTTGAACTCGGGTCTTCTTGACTGTAGGCCCAGGGTTCTAGGCAATGTGGCACCCTAATCCCTAAGGGAAGTGTCAGTTTCATTTTGTCTTTGTATTCCTAATATCTGGCACACAGTGGGTGCTTAATAAATATGTGTTGATTGCTTATACGCTGGATGCGTCCCCTTAGGGCCAGTAGGATCAATTGAATTTGAATTATATAGAAGAGGTGATGGTCCCAGACATATCTTATCACCCAGATACTTCTGTCTTCCTCAGAATTTCTATGATGCACTTGGCCCATAGGGCACAGGAGGATCTACACTACAAGCTTGTATCAGATTTCTCTGCCCTGTAGAAAAAAGAGGGGAAAACCCCTTGCATTTAAGAAATGTTATTGTTTTCTAAGACTTTCCCTAACATTCCTCATTGCATCACTCAATGGAGATCATTTTGAAACAGAGTTGGTAAAGTTGCTTGCACAAGCTGACATTGCAGGTGCTTCCCAGGTTTTCAGACCTTTCCCTGGGATGCCTCAAGGTCTTTTTTCAGGTTACTTTATCTTCTTACTTCAGAGTGAATCCCTCAGGAATCCTCTGTGCTCACAACACAGCGATCCTAAGAACTCCCATTTCTGCAGCCCTTTCATGGCTAAAGAATGCTTTCTTCATGGCCATCTGGTTAGGCAGGGAATGCAAGCCTCATTTCAACTGTAGTTCAGAGGATTCAGGAGGAATCTAACTTCCCAGGTTAAAAAACTTCAAAAAATATTGAGGTGAAATTGGGGTACCTGAAAAGAACAGCTAAGGGGACTCTCGCCAAATTGTCATCACCTTGGAATGAATCCTTTTTTGGGACTGCTCGGTGGTTTTGATGGTGAGGGAATTCTGGAAACACCTTTGTGGATAAAGATCTGCAACCTGGGAGTTCTGGAGGGCCACCTGGGGCAGTGAGAGGGGAAGTGACTTCCTGAGGGTCAGACGGCCAGGACAGAGCAGAGGTAAGACTTGAACCTGGGTCTTCATAACTCCCAGGCTAGCCCTTTGCCCATCATACCACAATTTAACACATGATTCACCACATCCACCTTATACCCATGAAGAAATGATGGATTTTTCGGTCACTCTCATAATGACAAATTCAAATAATTTGATTAATGATTGAGTCAAATATAAGGTGGACAGGCAGGCTACTGAGGTATCCCTTCAACACTGACCAGAGAACATATCTGCATCAGGGAACGCAGAAGTTGGAGTGTGTGCGTGAGTTTGTTGTAGTCTCGTGGTGTGACATCATGATATCAGATAGATGATCAATGGAAAAAAACCTAAAGACGCATTTACGTGTTCCCATATTTGGATAAAACCAGGACAGCAGCTTGGAACGTCTCCATCCCCAGAAAGCGGTGTGTGTGGACCTACTGAAAATGGCTGGAAAGGAGGACTTTCCTCTGTGATGCACGGGGTGTCTCTCCTCACTAGCCCACTCCCTTTACCCACCACCTCCAAAAGAATGTCTCTTCTAAATTTATTCCTGGCAAAAGCTTTTAGTAAACTAGGCTCCCAGGTATAATAAAATTATTACACAGTTTTATTCCGAAGAATATTTTGCATTTTAATACAAAATAATGTAGGTCAAGAAATAGTCCTTTTACAAACCTTTGCCTGGATTTGTAATAAGAATGCTTCAAGAAGAGGTCCGTAAGGTCTCCATTACAAAGTGTCATTATGTACAAAACGTCTGACTGGTTTTCTGTGTAGGATGTTAAAAAAGAGAGAGAGAGAGAGAGAGAGAGAGAGAGAGAGAGAGAGGGAGAGAGAGAGAGAGAGAGAGCTGGAATTGCTACCCATCCTTGAGAGCAGGCACAACTGCTAAGGTACCTTGGCCACGCCTGCCATCATTTGTGAAGAAAAGAAGGAAGCCTTTGACAGTCTGAGTTTCCCCAAAACTGGCTCATAATCCAGCAATGGACTTCCACTGCAGTGTAATCCAAATTTCAGCCCTCATTCAATTGCATAAAAACAAACCCTTTAAAGAACCCCCAGACCAGTGCAAAAGGGAGAGGGGGCAGAATGCTAGTTCAACATACCAGGACGTGCTCCATGGCCAGATCTCCACGTGCTCCCACCCTCTCCCATCCCTGGTTTCTGTTTACAAGCAGCATAACTGGTCCCTAGGGGACATGGCTAGACATTGCATTTGCCTCTATCATTCTTTCCGTAACAGGCATGCAAAAAGAGCCTCCATGGTCGCCTGAAAAGATGACGACTATAAATGCTACTGGGTCATCATAACTGGCTCAACCAACTTTAATCATTGCCATTGATCAGAGGGTTACCTAAGAAAAGATGGCAACCCACCATGGATTAAAAGGGATACAGTTTCCAATCAGATTGACCTTTTCCAAATCTAAGACTGCAAAGAGCCATTTGTGCATATCTTGTTTAAAGAGAGATTTGTACCAACTCAAAATATTTTAGAAAATCTCATTGTGTCAAGTTTCTTTGAACTCAAAATTTTGCTTTCCAAAGAAATTCACATTGAAGCAAAAAGAGGTGGCTCGGTTTAAATCCTCTCCTGTAGCTCTCTACGTCCTTAGTAAAAATACAGGTAAGTATTCATCCATCTCAAGGATTCCGTGGAGAACTACAATAATTCGGACGCATGGATATTGCTGCAGCTCCGTTATGGTACAATAATTACAAAATATAGACCATCTCTTTACAAATACAAATTATAGTATGTTACAAGTCATGTACAGGAAATCTCTATGATATATTTTTTAAACAAACGATCTCATCTAATGCTAAGTTGACCTGGTTGTGATTGCATTAGCAAGAATGCAGTTATTCCAGTGCAGATTTGCCCTTAATGTGACAGTCAGAAAACAGACTATCTCAATGGTATTTTCCTATGTAAACGGGTGTCACGTAACAGAATTGGGGGGTGGGTTTTTTCCCTTTCTGTACCTCTGATAGATAAAGTCTGACATGATACATTTCAGAAAAGGATTAGAAATTAGGACACAATTTTGGGGGGAGAGTTAGAATGGATATGGCCAGTTGGACACAGTCACTTGATATGCTAGAGGGATGGCAAGATGACGACATGGCCATCTGCGGCTGCCATCACTTTTCACCCTTTCCCATCGTGTGTGTGAGAGGACACTCCAGGGCACTGACAAACGCTCTTCACAAAAACCTTTCTCAAAGATAGTGCTGTGGGTTTGAAGGCCAGGCAAGGTGTAGCACTTAACCCCTTCCTCTCTAAAACGGCGGTCTGAGCCTGCTTTGGTTCAGTGGGGCTGCTCCCCATGAGGGACACTGCCTCTGTGACGGGGGCCGTCCTGGGCTGCACCCATCGGGGCAGACCCCCTAACAGGCTTACGACTGCCTTGAAAGGCCGCCCGAGGCCCTTTGTCCCGGGCCCTCCCCACCCAGCCCACCCAGCCCATTATCTGCAGCGCAGCAGCTTCTCTCCAAACCCTACAAGGTCGTGACGCACATCATCTCGTCAGCCAAATCCTCTTCATATCTGCCAGGGTCTGCTTCCTCATCACTAGAACCGGGACCAAAGTCAGGAAATTCATCGTCTCGTCTACTCAAAATGGGACACGCGGCCCCGTTGGCCCCGTTGCTTACGTTGCCATTCAGAAGGTGACTTGCTGCACTTTCCATCTCATCGATGGTCATGTCACAAGCATCGGCAATTTCGTGTTTTGTAGCAGACACGAATTTTGGGTCCCTGGCGTAGCGACCCAAGCCTTCTGAGATCAGGACCTGCAAAGCACAGAATACACACGATTTTGGTGCACAGGGAAGGTGGCAAATTAGGAAGAAGCTGTAAGGAGAAAATCATGGGCTAGTTTAGTACATTAAAAAAGAAACATACCAAGCAAAAATAGACTTTTGAGACTTGGGAGAAAGCTTCAAGAATCCAAAATTGCAACGTGGCTAAACAAAAAAGCCCACTTACAAATGAGTCGATGAAAGACTTATTCTTCATCTAGGATGAAGCTCCAAACAGCTTCAAATGGCCTAATGAGACAACGCTTTACATAGTAATCACCTCCGCATCCCTGAGGGCCAAGCAGAGAACTGATGCCCCATTTTATAGAGAAATGCTCTGTGATGGGCACCAAGAGACAGTTAAACATCATGGATGTCCTCCTGGCATTGACGAAAGCTCAGCATAGACCTCCCTGCACATCTTCTATACCAGACTCCTTGAAAAACCCATGCTTTAAACAATCAGTTAGTACTCACAGCTTCTACCAAGCTATCCGCACTTCTCTGCTTGTCACTGTGTTTGTGCCGGAAGTCACTGGGGATGGTCAGACTGGCTGGTGTGAATGTCCGATAGGAGATATCAGGCTCATCTGTATACCAGGAGCTCCGGTGTAAGGAAGGCAGGCTTCCATTCATCTGATCCAGGGAGTCTGACCGTTCTACTTGTATTAGGGGAGTATAGTAAGGAGTCCGGTCCTTGTATGGAGGGGTGGCTGGTGGAGTAGCCCATGACCGGGTTGAGTGACTTGGTGAGTATTTCTGAGCTTTACTAGAATCCAGGCCTGCAACTGCCATGATCTGAGGAAAGAAGGGAAGGCAGCGGGAAGCCTCAGGGTTGCTACAATAGTTAGCCCTCATTGTAGCTAATCCAGATTTTTTTTTGTTTTCCTTTAATGAAATGCAGCTATTTCATCACTTACAGTGAGTCACAGTTTCACAGGGGGAACACAAATATTAAGGTTTTAAAAGGAAATGGGGAAAATAGGACCCTGTTAAATTAAGAAACTAAGTTCTGGGACACACGCTGAACCCGGGGGGAAACCCCAGCATTCTCAGCTAGTGGAGAAGAGCCCTAGTAACTACTGAGTGCAGACGTTATTAGAAACCCCAGTGCCGCTCCTCAGTCCTCAACGCTCGCTGGGAACCTGCTTTGTGCACGGCTCTCTGCCGCCAGCAGCCTTGGGAGGGATACAGAAGAAATGAGAGGAGGATGGGGCTGCGCTTCAGGGAGCTGGTGGGCTGGTGAGAGGGGGCCCAGGGAAGGTCTTATTCACCTGTTGCTGCATCAGGTGCAAGGGCAAAGCTGCACGATGATGGAAGGAAGGAGACAGCGTGATCTCGTCTTGACTGCTCTGCCTACGCAGGCACTCAAAGTTGAAGGATGGCCTCCGATTTGCTAGGAAATAAGAATAATATTTCATTTAGTTGTGAAAAAGAGCTCAAGAGGTCACATGCCTAGCACTTCAATCAAAGCAGGCCCAAAGGAAATAACTGGATGTAATGGCAACAGGTTCAAGAGGAACAAAATTTTTTTAGTAAAAATATAATAAAAATGATAAACAATTATTAAAATGACACTTAAAATATTTTAAATTAAAGATACTAAACTGAGGAGGAGAGGGCCCCGAGGAGGATGCCACCCTCAGCCCAGGGGAGGAAGAGATGGCTCTGATGGGCCAAGGTCAGTCTGGGAGCCCTAAGAGGATCTTGGTGACCCAAAGCTAGCTTCTTCAGGGTGAAAGGAAGATGTTCAAACCAAGCGTTCAAGAGTTGCTATCACATCCATTGCAGAGAGTCTCAGAAGTAAAGCGCCGTCCTAGTCACAGAACTCTCCTGCTCCAACATCTTTAGGGGCTCCCCAATGCCTAGAGGATATAGTCCCATCTCAGCCCAACATTCTAAGCTCGCCATCAGCTGGCTCCAACCTTTCTTTTCAGCTACTTCACCCAGTCTTCCACCATCCATACTCAACACTCCAAACTGGGCTCACTGCTTGGGATAATACTGTAATTTAGAGGGGAGGGAGCACTGGATTTAAAGTCAGAGGACCCGGGTTCAAATCCTGCCTCTTGCCACTTAATGTCTGTGTAGCCTCAGACAAGTCACTGAAACTTCTCAGTTATTATCTTATTTTATTATCTCCATTTTACAGTTAAGGAAACTGAGGTGGACTGGTTAAATGACTTGCTGAGGATCATACACAGCTAGTAAGTGTCTGAAGCACGATTTGAATTCAGGTCTTCTTCACTCCAGGCTCTGAGCTCTGTCTACCGCACAACCTCACTGCTTGCCTCGTCTTAAACATTAAGGTTTCTCTCTATTGGTGTTAAGACAGTGTTGACTCACATATAGCTGGCAGCCCACTAAAAAACGAATACTATTTTCCGAGTGCTGTATGGCCATGTCTTCGCTGTTCTGTACACACAAAGTTGATTTTTAACACCCAAGGGTAAGGTTTGATGTTTATCCCTATTAAACTTCATCCTGCTTGACCTAACCCCATTTTCAAGCCCATCAAGCTATTTTTGTGTCCTCACCGGCTCCTCCCCGTTTTGTGTTATTTGCAAATCTGATGAGTATTTATTTCATCAGTTATTTCATTTCTTTCTTTTTTTGGGGGGGGTGAGGCAATGGGGTAAAGTGACTTGCCCAGGGTCACACAGCTAGTAAGTGTCAAGTGTCTGAGGCCAGATTTGAACTCAGGTCTTCCTGAATCCAGGGCTGGTGCTTTGTCTACTGTGCCTTCTAGCTGCCCCCAGGTAAATGATTAAAAAAAAAAAAAAAAAGGTCCATACACAAATCCCAGATTCCTTCCAAGATAACATCAAATAAAATCAACAATTATTCTTCTGGCCTGGCCACTTGACCAGTTCCAAATCTACATAGGTGTACTAAGACCTATTCCATACCTTTCCATCTTTTCTAAAATAACAGCACAGGGAATTTCTCAGTGCTTTGTAGAATCTAGGTAAAGTCAATCTCTGGCATTCCCTTCTTCTACCAGTCCAGTAGCGCTGTCAAAAATGGCCATCATTTTCTCTAGCATGGCTTATTCTTGATCAAGTCAAGCTGGCTCTCTGAAATCATTGCTTTCTTGTCTACATGCTTACTAACCACCCCTTTAATGACGCATTCTAGAACTTTGCTAGGCATTGCATTCACGTTCACTGGTGGATAGTTGGCAAACTTCATTCTCTTCCCTTTTTTGAAGTTCAGAACATTTGCTGTTTTCTGATCCCAATAACTCTCTGGTTCATCCCATTCTTACAAAGACCATGAATGATGGCATGCGCTTGTGTCTGCCAGCTTCTCCATACAGAGCATGGTGTTCATCTGAACCGGCTGCCCAGAATTCATCCAGGGCAGCTCCGCACTCTCTCCTTCCTTGCCATCCTCACTTCTCATCTAGTTAATTATTCAGTCCTATTAAGTTGAGGCCCATATCTCTCACTACTATTGTCTCCTCTCTACTCCTGCAGTCACTGCACTTAACAGAGGCACCTGCCACTGCAGTCATCTTCTAACACAGATTCTGGCATCCCTTCTCTCCCTCCTCCAGGTCATCCCTCAGACTCTTCCCAAACTGTTCATGTCTATGCATAAGGACGCCATTTTACGTCCCCGCTCAAATCTCTTCCAATGGCTCATGGTTCTTAACCAAGTTTAAGAACATGTTTTTGGCAGTCCAGGTCCCCCATGGTTTGGGGCTGCCTTGCCCTTTCTGTCTCATTTGCCTCACTGCTCTATCCTTTAGCCAACAACCGGCTTCTGCTCTGTCCTCCTTTGCTCGATATTCCCTTTGACTAGTGAGCACACCCCTCCCCCCCATTCTCCTTCAGAGCCCTCCCTTCAGGGGATCAGAGCTGCTTCGTCCTTGCTGATCGCTGATGCATCAATGTGGAGAATCCCACACGAGGGTTACTCCTGCACGTGTCATACCTGCAGTAAATGCCACAAGAGCAGGGATCGTGTCTTACGTGGACTAGGAGTCTGTGCTTACAGAGCAGCTATTCAATGATTATGTCACTGACTGTGCTGAATGCCATTAATGGCGGCATCTTTCTTTCACAGCCATAGGAGCTGAACGCCTTTACGTTAAACTAAATTGATGTAGTTCCCATCCTTGGTCCTCCCCTCTCCTTCACCCCCAGCTCCAGGGGCCAAGGCCCAGCACTTCTGTTTTTGTAACTTCTTGGACTGCAGCGTTGGCTCCGTTCTGTCCCCACTGCCAACCGTCTCCTGGCTGGATCGGTACAGAGTGGGAGGGGACACGAGAGCTGTAGCCACATCTAAAGCGTTGTCCTATGGGTGATAGGTCAGACTTGTTCTTCTAAGCCCCACACAGAAGAATGAAGAACCACAGGTGTGAGCTGTAGAAGGGGGAGAGCTCCTTCCTGACGAGTGGAACTGACTGCCTTGGGCATCTCAGAAAAGACTGCATGACTACTTGTGGAGGGGGGAATTCTTTTGACATTAGAGGTCTGAGGTCTTTTCAATTCTGAGGCCCCGTGGGTCTCTGAGCCTTGGCCTCATCTTAGGCTCTCATGGGCTTAGATATTTCCTGGCTATGGGAGCCTGGGTAAGTCGCTTAACCTGTGTGCCTTAGTTTCCTCAACTGTAAAATGGAGATATTAACAGTACCTACCTCTCACAGTTTATATGAGGATTAAATTATATAACACTTGTAAAGTGCTTAGCACAGTGCCTGGCACAAAGTAGGTGTTTAATAAATGCTTCCTTCCTTCCTTTCTCTTTTTCTTCCTTCCTTCTTTCCCTTCCTCCTTCCTTCTTTTCTCCTTCCTTCCTTTCTTCCTTCCAGAGGCTGTTCAGTAAATAGCTGTTCCTAGGACCACTGAATGAGTGAATGAGTCATTTCTCTGCTTCTTTTTCCAAGGGAGGGATATTTCAGCATGGCTGCCCACCTGGGCATTGTCCCTTCCTCAGGAGTTTGAGTCTTCCAAACATTAACCTGCTGCATGAGGAAAGTGATATCCTCCCATACTGCATAGGACACCCTTCTTCTCAGCAGTGGGGATTATAAACAACCCTTCAGAGACCTTCTCTGGTTTAATTAAGACAGAGAAAAGGATCATGGCTCTAGCATAGGAAAGGACCTCAGAATTACAGCTCTAATCCTCTCATTTTATAAATGAGGAAACAAGATTTCTAGAGATAACGTGAACTGCACAAGATCACACAGAGAATAAACAGTTTAAAAGGTGGGATTTGAGTCCAGATTATCTGGTTCCAGAGCAGTGTTCTTTCCATACCTACCTAATAAGAAGGGGGAGAAGAGGAAGGGTGTTAAGCCTGGGGTTCTAAAAAGCCAATCAATCAACAAATTTATCGAGTACTGTGCCAAGTGCTAGGGCCACAAAGAGAGGCAAAAGACAGTCCCTGCCCTCAACAAGCTTACAGTCTAATGGGGGAGACAACAAGCAAATATATATGAACTATAGGATAAATAGAAAAGAACTAAGAGATAGAAGGCACTAGAATTATGAGGGTTTGGGGAAAGCTTCCTATAGAAGATGGAATTTTAGTTGGGATTTGAAGGAAGCTAGGAGACAGAGATGAGGAGGGAGAGTGCCCCAGGATTGGGGACAACCAGAGAACATGCCCAGAGCTGAGAAATGCAGTGTCTTGTTCATAGGAAGCCCGTTTCACTGGATCAAAGAGTATATATGGAGGAGTAAGGTATAAGAAGACTGGAAGATAGGAGGGGGCTGCATTATGAAGGGCTTTGAATGCCAAATTGAGCATTTTGTATTTTCTCCTGGAAGTAACAGGAAACCACTGGCGCTTACTTAGAGGGGCAGGGGTGTGTGAGTATGGGCTTTAGGAAAATCACTTCAGTGGCTGAATGGAGGATGGACTGGAGTGGAGAGAGACTAGAGGCTGTCAGACCTCCCAGCAGCTACTGTAACAGACCCTTTGTGAAGAGATGAGGGTCTGCAATAGGAAGGAGCACACTGTAGAGATGCCGCAAAGGTGAAATTGACAGGTCTTGGCAAAGAGGGACTGGGAGGGACTGGGAGGATGGTGTTGCCCTCTACAGTAACAGGGTAGGTAGGAGGAGGGAAGGGTTTAGGGTGAAGGATAAACAGATTCTGTTTTGGACATAATGAGTTTAGGATGTCTGTTGGACATCTAATTCGATATGTTTGAAAGGCTATTGGACAAGTGAGACTAGAGGTTAGGAGAGAGATGGGGGCAGGAAGGGTGGATTTGAGAACCATCAGCATGGAGATGATAATTAAATCTAATGGGGGCCAATGAGCTCACCCAGTGAAGTCATATAGAGGGAGAAGAGCAGAGCGCCCAGGACAGGACCATGGGGGGCACCCAAGGTTAGAAGGTGTGATCAGGAAGAGGATCCAGCAAAGGAAGAACATCACTGGAAGAGTCACAGACCCTGAGTTAAACCTCACCTTTGCTATGTCTATCCCTATCTCCCTTTAGTAAAGGAGCAGATTCTCTGCCACCTCTACTCCTTATCCCCATCCCCACAGACTGTGGGAGGCAGCTAGGTAGAACGTGGACAGAGCACAGAGTGCCTAGAGTCAGAAATACCGGAGTTCAAATCCAACCTCAGATACTTACTACCTATGTGGTCCTGGCCAAGTCTGCTTCATATCCTCAACAGTAAAATGAGGATAATAATAGCACCTACTTCTGGGGGCAGTTGTGAGGATCAAATGAGGTGATAATTGTGAAAGCAGTTACCACGGTGCCTAGCACACAGAAGGAGCTATAAAAATGCTTTTTCCCTTCCCTTCCTTATGCACTCATATCCCATTCACGGGAGTAAGGACTATGTGCTGTAGTCAATGGACAGCACTGGCCCTGGGAGTCAGAAAGACAGTGTGACCCTAGGCAAGTTACTTAAACTCTGTGCCTCAGTGTGCGAGTCTCTAAAGGGGGAAGATTCAGAGGTGTCAAAGGCAGAGCTTCCCCACTCCTGGCGCTCCATGAGGTTGGCAGCAAAAGCCTCATCATCCCCACTGAACAGACAGGAAATGGAGGCTGAGGTCACAGAGGGGGCCCTTCAGCCTGGATCTCTGGGCCCACGGCCAACACAACAAGATAATCTCACCTCTTAGGATTTTGTGGTCACAGGGTGGACTAAATGGACCCTGAGGTCTGACCCTGAGCTTCAGTGACATTTGAAGAAAAATACAAAGCAGGAATAACAGAAACAGAAAGCCACTCCTAAGCCCTCCACCGTAAAGAGGAGACCCACAGATCCTAGAGAAAGGTGGGGGGAGAGGCGGTGTTCCCCCCAAGTCCAGCTGGATCCCCTCCCCCCCCAGGGAGCCAGACTCCTGGGCAACTGACCCCACCGGCTCAGAAAGCAGAGAGGGCTGGTCAGGCTCCCTCCAGGCTCCCTCCAGGCTCCGCTCCCTCACAATGACCCAATTTGAATTCCCTGCAGGAAGTCTCCTCCAAAGGACCTCCTGTGCTCTTATGCAAATTGACCCCAATACTTCCACTGAATGCCAGACCTGCTTTGTTTTTTCTTTTTTTGTTTTTTTTCTTATTAACCAAGTAAAAGCAGCCGGGCTTAGAAACTGCAGTGTGGGAAAGGCCCCTCTGGACTCTTCTCCATGCCTCTCCTGCAGTATTCAGGAGGGCAGGAAGACACATTGGTTAACAAACGTTTGGAACTGCAGCAATTACATATTAATTGTGGAACTCTGCTTATAGGCTCAAAGGGTAGGTTTCTGCTCCAAGACTAAAATCAACAAACCTGCAACGGCTGTAATGGAAGATTCCTTCCCTTCTCACCAAGCCTAGGTCTGGATCCATATGGGAAGTCAGGCTAGTTCTGTATATGTGCGTGGGAGGGGAGGGAGAGAGGCGGTGGCACATGCATGTGTGTGCATACACACGTGGTGTGTATGCATGTATATGGTACATGTGTGTGTGCGGTGTGATGTGGGGGTATGTGCATGTATATGTGTGTGCATTTTATCCTGGGCCAGGAACTGGAAAACTCTGTCAAAGGCCCCTTGGTGATGGCAGAAGGTAGCACCAAACACCCTCCCACTGCCTGTGGCCACCATCTTGAGCTTCAAAGGTTGCAGAAAGCTGCTCTGGGTGCCCTGGGAGCTGGATGGCCAGGGCTTAAGGCCAGAAAAGCAGAGTTCAAAGAGAGACAGACTTGCACTTTGGGTCAGGAAACCCTCCAAACAACTGGATCAGAGTCACGGTGGAATGGGATGCCTCTGGAGGTAGTGGAGTGGCCCTTGCAGAGGCATTGCAAGAGGGATTCCTGCCTAGGCACAGCTTGGGCCTGTGGCATCTGTGACTAACTATACGGCCATGATCCTTGATCTTTCTGCACCCGGCAGTGAACACTGCCATGCCTGGATGCACTGACGTTGATCATGTCCTATGTCCCCAGATGCTTCTCCTGTAAAGAGGGAGTTGGGCCAGAAGGCCCTTCCACTCCTCATGTTTGGAGGGTGTAATGGAGTGACAGAGTTTTGGGTTTTGTGTTGGGGTTGGGGTGGGGGAAGAGAACCATTTTGTGCTTTTCATCTTAGACTAATGAGAATTCTTGACTTATTCCATGGTGACACTGTATGGTATAGGAAGAGGGTTGCTAATCTTGGGCTTAGAAAACTTGCTCTTGAGCTGACACCCTCATTTTTCCTGGTTGTGTGACCCTGGCCTACTGCCTCAACCTGGCCACAGATTCAGAGCTAAAAGCATCCCCTGAAAGGCTGGGGCAGCTGGCCCCAGGTAGGGGAGTGGCCAGCAACCTGAAGATGATCACAAGGAGGGAGAGAAGACCTGGGCAGGCTCAGGTCAAAGACATGCGAGTAGGAAACAAGGTAGGGGAGAAGAGGTGAAAAAGAAACCAAAGGAGAAAAAGAAAGGAGAAGGAAGAAAAGCAAGAAAAGAAGCCATGCAGGAGTGGGCGGGACAGCCCTCCCTGGGCTCCATACCACTTTGGGGGACCCTCTCTTTGTGGGCCACCAGCTCTGGGAAGAAGGGAAGCTGTCCCAGTAGGCTACAAAGGAGACAGGTGAGGATGCCCTCATGGCTTCAAGGGGCAGGGAGCCCTTCCCCCTTCCCACAAATAAAGGGACTCCGTAAAGCTCCTGAGATGCCATAACCAAAGGCCTGGTCTCACATGTGGGGGTGGGAGGCAGCAGCCGTCTCCTTGGAGATCTCTTGGATTCATAGCAGATGGGTGAGTCATCCTCCTCCAAGAACCCGTGCGGGTGATGATAGCCCCGGGGCCTCTCAAAGTCGGAGCTGCTGCCTGGGCATCTGTCGTAGAAGTCATAGGTTTGCCTGGGTGTGAAGAAAACGCCAAGAGTGAATGAATGAGGGCCTCGTCAGACTAGCTGAACAGCCCTGCCCTGCAGGCCCAGCCCTCTCTCAGAGCAGCAGAGGGTCCTGGGGCTCCTCTCCCTGCCTTCGACCTGGCTCATTTCAGGGAGAATGCTAAGAAGAGCAGCCTGACTTTCCCAAAAATTCCGGCACAGGGAATGGCCATGACATGCTGGCTCACTCCCTTTCATGGTGACACCTGTTGTGCTATGAATGGTCTGTGGCCAAGCACACATTTTATGTTTTCTGATCATTTTCTGTTTGGGGGGAATGCTATGTGGGGGTTGGACATGTCAGGCTAAATGATTCTCCTTCGTTGTTCAAGAAGTGAAGGTCTTCCCACCCTCTTCTGCCCCCTTTATGTGACTCTTCTGCAATGTGGCTGCTTGGCTGCCACTATCCTGTTCCCTCTGTGTGTGTGTGTGTGTGTGTGTGTGTGTGTATGGCCATCGGGGTTAAGTGACTTGCCCAGGGTCACACAGTTAAGTGTCAAGTGTCTGAAGCCGGATTTGAACTCAGGTTCTCCTGACTCCAAGGCTGGAGCTCTAACCATTGTACCACCTAGCTTCCCCCATTCCCTGTTCTTACAAATAATCCATAAAGTGCAAAGAGCTGCTCAAGTAGCTTCAACTGTCCCTGAAAATGAGCCCTACTGTACACCCCCAGAATCTGAAACCAAACAAAAGCCTCCAGAAAGGGGCAAGGGAAATCAGGCCTCTTCCCCCTTCCTCCCCTTCATTGCCCCAGGGCATGGGCACAGAGGCTGCTTGCTACTGGATGCTGCTTCCCTTTAGCCGGGAGAGGTAGGATGCCAGAGGGAAAGGCAGAGGGGGTATTCCGGGAGATCTCACTTTAGCCCAGGGTGGAGGTGACCTTACCTGCTCCCCACCAGCATACAATCGTCCTCATAGTACTCATCGCCACTGAAATACTCCTGCTCCCCCAAGCAATGGTCATCCCTGAAGTAGTCATACCCCTCAGAGTCTTCCCGACAAATAGTGGGGAGCGGCCCGTCACCAGAATCAGACCTGCAGTCAGGAAAAAGGGTGATGGGGTTGGCCTTGCATCCGTACGGTGGAAGAGCCTGCTAAGCTGGTCAGCTCACACATATCCCCAGTCACTGTGTAAATGCACTGGTATTACTGGTTTCTCTCTCCTCCCATCATCCCCCCAGCCCTGTACCCTCTGATCCCGCCAAAGAGTGAGTCTATCTCTGCACACCCTAAGCCCCCTAGACAAGAGCCATCAGGGTTACAAGCGCAAACTCTTAGTGCGCTAAGTAATTCAGCTCAATAAGGTGGGAACTACAGAAGGAAGGACCCACGTTCACGGAGGCGGGGGAATTGAAAACAGAAGTACAAGGGCCTCAGTAAAAGTAACTTTTCAGGGTTCTTTGGTCTTTCTCCCATTACCTAATCTTCCTCTCTTTCGGTGTGGTAGTCTTGGGTTGAATGAGAGCCTTGGGCTGCCACAGAGTGTCAGTTCAAAAGCTGTATTCTCTACCTGGTTAGCTAGATGGCACAGTGGATAAAGTGCCAGACCAGGAGTCAGGAAGACCTGAGTTCAAAAATGATCTCAGACACTGACTAGTTCTGTGACCTTGGGCAAGTCGCTTAACCCTGTTCGCCTCAGTTTCCTCATCCACAAAATGAGCTAGAGAAGGAAATGGCAAACCACTGCAGTATCTTTGCCCAGACCTCCCCGCCCCCATTAGCCCCTCCCAAAGGGGCCACAAAGAGCCAGACATGACTGAAAATGACTAAATAACTAGGTGGCACTTCTTAGATAAGCTAAATCTAAGGGGACAGACTGAAGCAGGAAGACCCACACCACAAACATCTCAGTTTTCACAGGCTGGTCACCCTTCAGCTTAGTGCTTTGCCTGCCCTTATCCATGCCACACTGATAGCTTAAGGGACCAGCTTTTTCAGCCACGCTCCCCAATTTAGGCCAGTTGTGTCTCCCAAATCACTGACGGCGGAGGTCTGGTGGCCGCCTTCTGACCCAAACGGTCTAGGGGCTCACTTCACTTTGTTCACTCTCCAGGAGAGGCTTCTCCTCACCCCTGAGGCACGTTTACTGAGCCACCTGAATGTGTGGAATGGTGAATTGGCTTTCCCATAGAAGCCGTGTCTCTAAGAATTGGGTTGGGCACGTCGCCGAAACCCCAGGCAGATCTGGGGCATGAAGTTCCCTTTTTTCAAAAAGGCAGCCATTTATTCCACACTTCACCACCTAAGGTCCTGAGTTACAAAAAGCTTTCTTGATAATTGGCTTCAAGGAATTTTTCCTGTTTCAGCATTAAAATAACCCAGTTTCTGACACTCAGACATCACAGCACTTAACACACATTTTTTGGGAATGGGAACATACCTAATGTAAGTTTCGTAATAGCGGGTTCTATCCAGGAAAGGCATAAAATATGGAGGGGGGAAAACAATATCATCAGATAAAAGTAAATATTCCCAACAAAGATTATGAAAATGTAGGTAGGCTACCTTCAAATCAAGTCAACAGAACTGGGGGAGATGGAAAGTTCTTTAGGGAAACTACAGGAGGTCACATAATGGAAGCTCTCTTTTTGTACTAAGACTCAGAATACTTACACCTTCCTAGGAAGGAGTCCCAATTTTGTTTGTAATGCTTCTCAACCCTAAATAGGAATTTGCAACAGAACGTGGGAAAAGAGAGAAAGAGGGAAAGGCTAGGGCCACTCAATCAGATGGGACAGGCTACGGGCGGGAGGCTAGGCTACCAAATGCAAAGACATCAAAGGTTACCTTGTGATACTTGACCTTCTTTGAGGCGCATGCTCATGCTTGTGGTGTGAATGATACCCATTTTCAGACACATGCTCAAGGTTTCCAATGCTGGGGTGCTTCCCGTTAGCAACTTTGGACATATTGGCATTATTGAGATTGGCATTTGTTGAGTTGGGAACTTGCTTTCCTATGGAATTATGGTTATGATGGTTAGGATACACCGAATTTCCTGCTGGAGGAAACATTGGGTTCTCAGTATCGCTTGCAGATGGAATTGAAGGCCTTTGGACATGCAGGGGACGGTGGGTGGTATTTGTCTGCTGAAGGGAATCTCTCCTATCACTAGTGACATGATTGACATGGTTTCCAAACAAGGCACCATTTCTCTGCAAAATAATGGGAGACAATACCAGGTAATTTAACACAGCATTTGGCACAGGCAGGCTAGCCACGTTAGGTTTTTTTTTTCTTTTTACATGAAAAAATATTCTACTAAAATTCTACAGGATCCCTGAGATGAACAAAAGACTGTGAGTGTCTGAAAAATCCATGTGAATGTGCCAGCAGGGTGGATGTCCTTCCCCCGGACAAGTGTGAGGTCGCCAGTGCTCAGAGATGGGAAGCAGGGGCACTCCCTGGCAATGCAGGCTGCCCTAGAGAAGCCCATCCCTAACCCAGAGAGTGTCACACCCATCTGAGGCAGGTGGCAGCCTTTGGCGAGTGGGCAATGGATGTAAGCTCTAGGCTATGAACCAGGCAGAGACTGGCTGTGTCGTGCATGGTGCGGGATGGCAGGGATGCAGTGACGGAGCGAGCCGGTCACATCCAGGGCATGGGTTGTGCTCCTCTCTGGAGGCCAGAGGGGAGCCGCTCCAGCTGCTTTCGAGGTGGATGGGAGGAGAATGGAGCCGGTGGGGACAAGGCAGGGATGGTCACGGAAGTGCTGTGTGTGGAGTTCTCTGCCTAGACCTGTGTGTTTGTGCCTCAGCACGTTGTGTGTGTTACAACTGCTCTGAAACTGCACAAGCTCAAGTTGGTAGCCCAAAATGAAGTCTTAGAAGCACAGACTTTGAGTCTGGAAGTCCTGCTCCACAATTTCCAAACGGACAGTATAGAGCTGTGTTTTGAATAATTACTTTGAATACATCTTCCTCTTCCTCTTGTTTTTTTTCCTCAGGTTCATCATCTTGCAAATCACATGATATAGCACGACGGATTTCTGGCCCAATATCATGAAGGGTCCTTAATCCCGCCTAGACCAAGGAGAACAGCAGAAGAAGTTAGATAGCCCCCTCCCCCGGCTCAGGCTGGTGACTTGGGGTGACTAAAGTTTGGGGATGGGCAGCCCATAGGTTTGCCATCCTCAAGGGCCACTGCTCACACCTGGTGCTGCCAGTTCTTTGGAAGGGCAGAAGGACATTGCAGCCCTTGGCCATCTCCCCAACCTCTGTGCCATCCAAGGACAATGCCCTAGCTAATCTAAGAACTGGAAACTGATGGAGTCTAAGAAGAGAGAAAGAAACCAGTCAACAAGTTGGCTTTGGGGCCTGCTGCTGCAGCAAGGTCCTTTCATTAGGTGAAGGGGGAGGTATCACATCTGCTGCAAAGCAAATGAAGGGAGAGGGCCATGTGTTGAACAGGAACCAATCAGGACACTTGATATGATAAAGTTGGGTCTCTGCATGTCCATAGTCCTGGCTTACTATTCTGGCTAGAAAACACCCAAGATTGGCTTCAGCATCATCAAGGCCCCAACCAACTAAATGTGTGTGATTCAAGATGAATAGTATTGTTACATGGTGAAAAAGGCTAGTTTTGGAGTCAGGAAAACCTGGGTTCAAGTATCTCTCAGTGACTCAGGCAGCCTCTAATCTCTACGACTAGCCAATCTGAAGGAGTTTCCCACATGGTGAGTTCTTTACGCTTATGAAATCCCAAGTCAGGACCAAAAAAGAGATCAAAGGTCCACGCAGTAATGGTTTTCCTGTGTCCCACTTCCTCTGTATCGCATCAATGCATACATAGATTTCTGGCTCCCACAAACTCTGGCCTCTGACTCTACTTAGAAAGATGCCAGTGACCAAAATCCTGAACCTTTGTGAGAGGCCTGAGAAACCTGCTGCTATTCACCATTATAAGACGTCAGATAGAAAGGCTGCTACATCATCTCTGTCACGAGGGACTAAGTGGGGAAATGCAGCATGTGGCAATGAACCCGATGGAAACATTTCAACCACAAGTACAAAGGCATATTTAGGGACTGTATCTGCTATTTCACAGTTTTTCCCTAGGGACACATAGAAGAGATGGTTCTTACTTGTCCCCACTCCTGAGGCCTTCTGATGCTTTGGGTCTTTACCTACTACCCCTATCACTCATCTGCCTAGAAGTCTGTCTGCCACATGCCAAGGTCTTGGAGAACTCTTTAAAAATGAAACTTGGTATACAGCACTTAAGTCTACATCGGAAGTTTAGAGAATCAGAATAGTTTGCAAGGGAGAATGAGACCACATGGCCAATCTTCAGGGAAGAAAGTCACTTCAGTCATTGCATGAAACCCAGCTGTGTGGTGTAGGAGTAATGAGACTGGGACACAGAGAACAGGTTCTGGTCATGCAAGGGGTGTTAGACAGCAAGGCGACAGCCAATGAGGAGGTTGCTGGGATGTTGCCCAGGGACGGACTGCAGCCCCTTCTCTTTTTCCCTGCCTTGACCCTGATCTCTCCCATCCTGGCACCACAGGAGTGACTTTCATTTTTAATGTAAAGTTGTAGGAATTTGCCAATGGATTTTTAGTGAAGCAGTTCACCCCAAAAGGCCATTGAGGTCTCCAACAGAACACAGAGAGCAGTCCATCAGAAGGAGGACCCCAAGTTCCTTCCATCTTAGGAGGTGACCGACAGAACTGTCAGGAATTGAAGCCTTCAGGCTCTCAGCATGAAATATTCTGCTCTGGACAAGGATAGACAAGCTCAAACCCTAAGGCCAAGATGGCCATGGTTTTCCACAGGTAGATGTTCCCCGGGCTCTGCTTCTGATCCTCAGTGTACTTTGGCCCCAGGGGGCACCCACAGACATGCTGATGATGGCCATCAAGTCATCTGACTATCAGTTTCGTAACAACTTCTTTGCATATAGAAAGATAAGGGAGTCAAATCTCATGATAAAATAATCACGTTCTTATACAACAGGCCTGGAGGTATGAAAAGGACATAAAAACAAAGGGTATAAACAGTCCAAAACATTCTAAAATTCAGTTTGGAATCTTTTGGGGGGCATTTGTGTATAAAAAATATTGTAAAGAAAGCATTTGAAAGGTTTAAGTTATGCATCAAGTGAAGGAAGAAAAGCCTGCTATCCAGTGGAACGGACACAGAAGTGTGTACAGAGCTGGGACAGACACCTGTGCTTGCGTCTCCATGAGAATAACCACATGTTGCGATTAACCAGCCCTATTTGCTTTGGTGAATTATGAATGCCTTTCTGCAGCACAGGATGATGGCTTAGTGATTCCCTTCACATTTCATAATTCAACTCATCGCACTAAGTTAGAAAATAATAAGAGAAATAGAAAACTATTTATTTGAACAAATTTTTGACATTGTCCTATGCTGGTTGGTTTAGCATTTCACTGAAACACACAGAGTGATTAACAACATAATTGCATAAGAAAATCAAGACTGTCTCCAATTGTCTTCCCCCTCCCCCTTTCAATAGTACACAAGGTTATGAGTCAATTGACATGTTAATGCAAATGCAGCCATGTTTCATGAACTGGGATGGGCCCTACAGTTGGTTCAGGACAACACAAATCATGAGTGACGTTGGGTGGGGGACAGAGACATCACCTTCAAAGACAAGTAACGATACAGTATTTGTTGAAGAGACGTTAAGATGGAAAAGGGCATCTCCCTAACTAAGAAACAACAACAACAACAACAACAACAACAACAGAAATCTAGAAAACATTATCACACCCGTTTTCTCCACAAGGAGTAAAATATGCTTTGAGATACTGGCATTTCTTCACGATTTGAAAAGTCACAGGTAGGGGTGGGGGAACACTCTGAATGGGACAATGGCTCGGTCCCCAAATTTGAACTGAAATAAAGCCTAAATACTGCATCCTGAATTCATTACATATGAGAAAAAGTGTTGGAGAATTTCATATCAGTCGGGCTAAATGGCTTAGGCTGTTCCCCAAATTCCCAACAACTTCTAACTCCAGGAAATACAGAATACTGCCTTAAATTGTGCAAGAAAATTGCTCTCTTTCTATGTCTAACCCCCAAAAAGGATCATTTTTCTTTAAAATAAAAACTTTACAACCAGTGTAATTATCTTATTTTCCCATATTTTCACATCTAATGGCAAAATATCATTGTAATAGAAAGGTTTTCAAATCCTATTAGCCATTAACCCTGCATAATTAAATCTAACTAAAAACATTTCATTAACATTACAGTCATATGATTTTAAAGAAACAGAGAGTAGCTATAAAATATTCTATGTATAAAGACAATAGTGACTTAGTTTGAACATGTCCAATCCTATAAAATTGTAAACAGTTTCAAGCTTCGTGTTTTTTTTTAAAATGCTAGATGTTCCGATAAATATTTAATAAACTATTTTTAAAAGGAGAATAAAGCAAAGAAAAAGCTGACACTTCTAGATTCCATTTACTAGAAATGTGGGAAATTTTTTCCCACTCACTGTCTTAAGAGACTTCTAAACAAGAATGTCACTACGCCTCCATAAGCAATGGTACAGAATAATGATTTTGTCCAACAAACGTGAACGTTCACTTATCTCTTGAATAGTCACTCTTGGCTAGCTTTCAGATTTTAATTTTTGCCAACCTGTGTACTTTGAATATTGAAGCAATACCATGGAAAACTACTGATCATTGACACTGTCAAAGACGTGTGCATTTGGTCACTTTACACAGCCACTAAAAATCATGCAAAAATGCTTTTAAAAGGAGCATCAGGGTAAACCTACGCCATGGCACTGACCACAAGACAGAGTACTCAAGCCTTGGCTGGTGCAGCCCATGATATGGCTGCTGAGGCCCTCCAGGAAAGAGCACGTTGGTGTCTGACAAAGCCACAGTTCAGTCTGTGTCCAACAGCCCAATTAAACAAGGGACATGGCATATTTATCCTTTAGTGGGTTTCTGCCATGTTCACTTTATAGTTAACAAGATCAAAAGGAGGAATCTGAAATCAGACTCTTGTCAAATAAACCAGCTCATCTGAAATGTCACTGTTTTCCTTCTCTTCTAGCTGGCGGAGAGTCCATGGATATACCCTACATTTTGCAAATGTGTTTTCCTCCAAGGAAGATGTGACTGTGACTTCATTTACTTATTTATTTTATACAGAATGAGAGGAGATGAAGCTTTTCCCTATTAATCATCAGTATTAATTCCCTTGCTAAGTGCAGGCTAGCTCAAACATCAAGACTAAATTAAATTATTCTTCCAGTTCTCCGAGTGGGGATCTGCTTTATAAATGAGTAATAGTTTATCACTCTACACAGGAAGATAAGGGAGCTGCCAGAAAGTGAGTGGCTTTCTTTCCTTTTTCAGATTCTTCAACAGCAAATCAATCTACAAGCAATCTGTGCTGGAAGAACTTAATTCTTCATTGTAATTTGTGATACTAGATTCACAGAGAGACTTATTAATTTCCTGACACCTTCAAAATGTAGGCTCTGTGGCATTAGTTGGCAATACAAAACCAACTAATAATAAAAGTAGGACTTTAGGTATCCGAACTCTTCGTTCTGTGCTCTTTCCACTACATTTTCATCATGCTGCTGCCTTCATCTACCATAACCCAGGACAGGGACATGTTACAGGAATCATCTGAGAAATAACTTTTGTATAGTAGGAGAAAATAAAAAAAAGAAAAGCTCGTTCACTGGATCCTCATAATTTGGAATTCATTAACCTTTCAACAGGGTTTTGGATGAATCTTACCTCAACACTATGAATGAAAAAGTTTTCAGTGCAAATTAATTGTACAAACTATATTCAGGGATAATGTTTAATCTACTCAAGAGAACGATATTGTAACTACAATGGATTCTTACCTATTCATTAAAGCAAATCCCCTCCATGGCAATAGTATAACTAATAAATTGACATATCTTTGAAAATATTTTATATTTTCAAATTTTTACTAGTTTAGAGAAGTCCTTCTCCCAGTTGTTTAAAAGCAATAAAGTACGGCTATATCAAAAGTCATCT